CCCCCCCCCCCCCCCCCCCCAGAAAAAAAAAATAAATAAATAAATAAATAAAAATCCTATTGAATAATATAGGAAGACACCTGACGGTTCTTTGAAATGCGAGGCTATGTTGGTGTTTGTATAGACGTCCCATTGTTTTTGATAGAAACAAGGGCAGCTTTGCTGAATAGGGGATAACTAGTTAACAGGTACCAGCGTTGCTAGGTAGTTTGCTTAACTAACTACTTTGAACGGCCAAATTTGATCTTGATATCAGGGGGAAGAGCCTCACGCAATCTTCATTCTGAAAGCAAGAATTTTAGGGAACTGAGTAAACTGCCGGAGCGACCCTATGTCCAAGTCCCTTGCCTTTACATATGCCTCGTCGAAATTTGGCTCTTCCAGAGCATCCAGAACCAGGCCTGCCTTAAAGAAGGGGGCAAAAATTTCCTGCATTGGACGGTGGAAGTATAGCTACGCGGGATGGACTTTTGGTTAGCACTAGATATTAAAGAAGATACACATGGGAGCGCGCTTATTATCTGCGGATAAGGCTGGGATTGAGTTGCGACGCCTTTGTAGGAGGGTACGTCCAAGTATTTGGTCATCTTCAAGGTATGAAACGCCTCCTCTCGGCCTGACTCAGGATTGTCCCTGTATTCAACTGCTCTTGTTACGCCACAGGTAAAGAGAGGGTGCAATAGCGTTGCAACAAACCTATACCAAGGGGTAAGTCGGCAAGGCCTGTCAAAGTTAGAGCCGACGAACTCACCGGCCCCCATCCCTTTTCAACAATTTAGGCAGTGCATTAGCAAGGTGCTCTAAGGTAGAGACATCCATAATTGCCATATTCATCGTAATGATATCAAATGCTCCCTACTCACACAGTCAATTTATTTCATATGGTCCAAGATCAAGCCGAAAAGGCAATGGGTGTGACTATGGAACATAGATAAGTAGGGGTGCAACAAAAAGTCTCACCCCAGCTCCAGGACCTCGAGACTGAATAAGTTCTTCAAAATGCTGCGGATCTGTCACATCGAGGATCTGATATGAGACTTTCGCTTCCCCATTTTCTTTGAGTCTCTTTGACTGTCGGGCTTGAGCTTTCGTGAGCATAACGGGACTGCCATCTGTCGCGAGGACGCTGGTCCCTTTTTGAGCCATCCAGTGCGCTACAAGGCCATTCCCCGTGGCAAGATCCAAGGCACAATCTCCAGGCTTTGGCTGTACCAGGCGTTCCAATGCAGGCAGCTCGACGGCGGTGTAGTAATCGTTGCCTGGAGTTCCCATCAACATGTCCCAGGCTTCGGCAAGCTGGTCCCATGCCGCAACTGGTTTAACATCCATTTTGGTTGAAAAGAGAGAAGCCTGCAGGTATTTACTCTCCGATTTGCACCGTAGGCCTTCTCCAAGTCAATACCTGACGTGGTAGCGGTGATTAGAGATGTAGAGAAGATTATGTTTGCCAACATGACAGAGTCAACACGAGGTTATATTTTAAGCTTGCTCATTCTATTAGTTAACTCTACCCTGGTTAGCCAAGGGCCGTCGAGCAACTTCTTCACCGTCTTCGGATAATCAGGACACTGTTGAAGCACAAAGTGAGCAGTTTTTTGTGGTATCTTGGGGGGTATTCATATATGTGCACACAAGTCTGTAGCTTGTAACTAGTTATGCACATGATTGAGTCCCTGGAGTAGTTAGCTGAACGAGTCCCGCTCTGAGAAGATCTTCCGTAAATCGCTGGATTGGATTTCTTAATCGAAAACTAGTTACCTGTTACTCAAGGGCTGTCGCTCACATCCTGTCTATGAAGACCTAGGGACTATGCATCATATGTTTCGGTATCATCTTGGTCGGCCCTTTCGCGTTTGCATGTCTTCGAATGTCATTGAAGGAAGGAAATTTTCGCTCATTTGTTCGATTTGAAATTATTGAATTTCGCCTCCTCAATTGCTTCAAGACTGTGTATAGTCTCAAAACCGCTAGTTAAAAGGAAATTTTATGGAGGCGATGGCGCCTTTGGTTATTTCAATGATTACGGGATGCACCACGGGAATGGGGATGAAAAGAGACAGACCGTCAGGAACAGTGAAACAAGCGAGCCGAAGACAAGTTTAGCACACTCAGTCAATATCCTTCAACGGCTGGGCTTCTGGTAGTTACTGATGGGTAAAGCTCAGTATTCAAAGCGGCTGCAATCGTATTTACAAAAAGAATGGAGGGTCTACCGGGTTGAGTAGTAACGTAACCAGCTAGACGGTGAGGCATACTACTTGGAGAATTGGAAAGCTCAAAATATACATATAAAAGTATAGGGAGGCATTTCAAGATAGACATTGAATGTGTAGTGAATTCGTATCCAGCGTTGTTTCTGCTATATTGCTGTTTATTGCATAGCCTCTCGTTAATTATGTGATAGAATACCGGTGTTTGACCTTCGCGCATCTCATTTTATACATTAAGCTAGTCTTAGACGAGAGTAGATGATCCGAGGGTCCGTGGCGCATTGAAGGGGTGTATCCATTTACTATCAATGGTTAGGCGTCCTAGATATTTAGGACGACTTGGTTTGCTCTGCTGAATCTCTTCTGCTCTTCTTTGCACGACGCTCAGCTAGGTCATTAAAGCCATCTCCTCTCATCCAAGTCAATGATTTCCTGAATCCTTGGTCTGTGATATTTGCAGGGTTTCTTTCCAGCAACACTCCTAAAAGCGCCCAAGAAGCTACAATGACCCACAAGTCACCCCCTTTATAACCGCGCCAGAGGCCGCGCTTGACTCCCGTTTTCCAGGCGGATTCCACAGCTTGTCGGAACAAATAAAGGAAGTGAGCTCGGTAGCCGGAGCCGCAGAGAACTGCGAACGGGAGGCCGCTGATAGCTCCACTGAGGTAGAACCGCAGGGTTGGCAAAAGTTTTCGTGGTAAGACAGCATTGAAGAGACATATGCTTCCCCACGCCGCACCAATAGATGAGCTTATGATTGCCGTGGCGGAAAGTATCTTCTTGGACACCTCATTAATTGAAGTGACTGGTGATGTAACAAAAGACTTGAATTTCAATACTGATAGAGCCAAGTAGACCTTGGCAACAGAACGCACGAGGGGCGGGACAGAGAGAAGCACTTGATGTATGAATGCAGTCAAGCAGGAAGGTGATTTTGGATGCAGTAATGCACAGGGTAGAGAGGCTATCGCTGGGTGAGCAGGAGAAGTGACGGGCGATATTTTCTGAACAGCGGCAGGAAGCGTGTCGATTACATTTGGATGGAGGATGGGAGAAGTAAAGGGCCTAAACAAAGGTTATTAGCTTGATATCAAAATGATCCAAATTGACATGAAGGGTGCCATACGGCCAATTGAGTTCCGCAACTTTTGCCAATGCATCAACTGTTTCAAATGGTTCCGGCCAGGCCACCGTTCCTGGGAGACCAGAAGGCCGCCGCTTTATATACCCTGGGGTGAACTTCAGGATAACGTTTCCAAACCACTAGACCGAGAGTTAGTTCCTAGTTCCTTTGAAAGGAAGACAATTAGGAGCTGGAAACTTACAGATGGTGTAGCTTCTCTATCAAATACAAAAGCATGGAAGAGTTGGGCCATGGAGAGTGGCATTAGAAGCCAGCTTCCAAACCACCAAGGACGAAATAAGAGCCATCCGTTCTCCAACAAAGCATTATATAGAACCTCCAAGCTCCGCGTGGAAGCATATATGGCAACTGTAAGACGTAGCTGGGCCTGTGGGTATAGACCGAGGAAGAAGCCAGCCAAGCTGGCGCCTATAGCTGGTGCATATTTCGATGTTAGCGCTTTTGATATGCGCGGATTCCTCTCTCGGAAAGGCTGGGCATTGTCTGTACGCAAATTCGCGCGTAGTCGAGAGAAAAAGCGATGTAGTAATCGGTGGAAAAGTAGCATCAGGGATAAGGATAGAGGAAGTCGGAAAGCCGGAGAATCGCGAAACGGCACGTTTGAGAAGACACTTGCAGAAAAGAATGTTAGACATATTTTGGAGATCACACGAGACTGCTTCTCTTAACATACCCTGATGCACCCGCCCTTGCTATGATTCGGCTTTTGATGAAATCCAGCAATTTCATACCCAAGCGCGTGATCCAAAATAGTCGGATGGAGGAGCGTAGCGCTGCTGTGGTATACTTGTCTCTTGATTTGATGATATTATTGTACGTAGCAGGCGAGTATGCTCTATCTTGTATTGATTGAGGGAGGTTCTGAATGACGGATTCATGGAGCTTTCGATACTCCTCCCCAGAGCAGAGAAGCCGGAGGACCGTCCTTTGCGCCTTGAACCCCAGGCTGGGGGGATTGCGTTGGGCGTCTGGATCTGGATTCGATGCCATGATCACGCCAACTACCGGATTAGCTCACATAAGATAATTAATCTGCTGGCAAACAAAGCCTCATTCATATCTTGCTATCTGCATGACGGTTGGATGTTTTCTTCTGGCGTTGGCAATTTCCGACGTCACGAACAAGCGCGCCTTTGCATGTGACTTTAGCGCCAACCTCGGGTAGCGACTCAATTAGGTCGACAATACCTGGATACTGGCTTCCTGCCATAGCCTCATTGTATCTCTCTCTACATTATTCAAGTAAATAGGATGAAAGCACTTGACATAGTAGCTTAAGATAAGTTGTGAAGGGTATTGCTGAGATTAGATCTATAGAACAAAGGTAGAAACAGAGATGTGCAGCAACAAGGCAGCCTGCGAGTATAGTAAAACAGGGAGATGAGCATGAGGAACCAATCCCAAGCAAATCGTTACTATGAAATTCGTCAAAAGAAAAGAAAAGATACATTGCCAAGGGTTGAGGTTAGAAGATGCAGGTGAGGGTGGTGTGACGAAAGCGGGATGTGAAAGAAGAATTCCAGGCGAGCAGAAATCGGTCATAAGATCTTTACCAAAAACTGCACCAACCGATGTAATGCTGACACAAGTTTTCTACACTTGTAGCTTGGACTAGAAGTTTGTCGACCTGGTCGCTAACATTGAGTTCATCAGGGGTTCTGAAGTCGCGGCCAGTTAACTTCTCCTTGACCCTTCCAAGTACTTGAAGGGCTCGCGCATTTTGCACTTCGCGTCCTTCGTTGGGGACGCCTTGTTGAGCATCAAGAATACCACCATCAAGTATTGATGGGCGGCGGCGTGAGAAGGTAGTCGGCTGGATGGGGTTGTCCATGTTGGACTCTGTGGGCGGGTGCCTATCCAGGATTGAAAGGCGGGCAGGAGATTCGCGTGCTCCTAGACGCCAGTTGATTAAGGGGTCGTGAATGAACTAGTTGGAAGGTTAGCGGCTGGTTTACTGAAAAAGAATATTTACCCAGAAAAGCTGGAGGCTTACAGCTTCAAGAACGGCCATGAGGGATTCTTTGTTTTCGCGAATAACACGCATGACCGCCTCACAAGTAATGTGGAAACTACCCTCAATATTGCTGACTTCCATCGCAAATGTAAGCATACGGGTTAGTCTGAATGGTACCCGTTCTGGATACTTCTCACGATGCATCGCGATCTCGAAGCAGTCACCAAAATCAATGTGAACTATCTTTCCTGTAATCCTATCAAGCAGCAAGTTCGACGGATGACGGTCACCTAAGCCAAGGATATACCCAACCATTGACATAACTCCGAGAGATCGGGTATAGTTCGTTCGTCGTTCGAGCCACGACTCAGAGCTTTTACTCTTCAACCATAGGACTCGGTAAAGATCTTTGCCAGTGGTATTGTCCATCGCGTAACCAAACACTTCCACTTTCTGCATGAGAGTCAGATTGTCATAATCGGGAGCCATCTGGAGCATAATTCGGTGTTCAATGTTAAGCAGAATGCGACGGCTCTCACGGTACTCCTTGATGAGAGCGTGAAGCGTGTCGGTATTGCAGCACCATCCTATTAAACCAGAGTTTTGTGACAGGGGAATGGCAGGGAACCGTTGAATCGTTAAGTGACGTTTGAAACACTCGCTGTCGTTGTCTAAGAGAGTGTTGACTAGACCAAACAATTGCATAACACGTTCATCTTGTCGAATATCTTCATGGCCCTTGAGCGCGTACATGTATGAGTTTCCGTCACTTCCTCTGATGATCATCTTTCTGGGTTTCTTCTTGGTCTGGACAACAATAGCAACACTGTCAAAGCTTTGTATTCGGATGACGGGTCGTCCACTTTGGTATGTGCCGGGTATAGCCAAGTCAAGATCGACAACGTCCTTGAGCTTGGGTGAAATGTATTTTAAATCAAGTGATTTGATTTGCGTTACTTGTCGGGAAATTTTGCGGAACACATTGTAGTAGAGATCCCAAGCTTGGTTGAGATCGCCCATTTCTCCCGTTTCCCGGTACAAGTTGCAGAAGTGTTTGGCCTCGGCTAAGTCTCTCCCAAAGGCCTGAGCAAAGGATACCTCTCTTAAGGTCTCTGCACCCTTATCGAGCATGTCGTGGAGAGGCGCAAGAGTGGACAACATGCCTTCCACATCATGGTCGGTAAAGAAGAGCCGAGAGGCCTCCTCCAACGCCTCATACCATAGTTCGTGCCATAATACTGCCACACGCACTAGCTCACCACTGACAACTTCAGCTTGTTCAACCAAACGTGAGCTATGCGCTCTCATGCTGTCCATGATGGTCATGGCAGATTGGGAGCGGCGCACCACGTTAGATTTAGTTGCGACAGTTAGGGGGTAAACCAGGGCTTGGGGGTGAGCTTTGCCCAGCTCAGCCAATAAGCGATGTACAGCAGTGCGTACCTTAGGATTGGGTTGATTGATGCGGGCAATGAGCTGAGGAGTAACTTCAAGCCAGGTATCGATGCTCACAGTTGAGAAGCCTTCCACGACAGCAGCGTTAACTTCAGCGTCACCACCATGGGTGAACCAGAGTGTCAGCAGCCTGAGCGCATCTTGCAATGTGCTTGATGGTAGGAGTGCGATTGAACGGAAAAATCCACGTATTGCCGGCATGACATGTTCGAGGATGATATGATGAGGAGGCTCTCTCTCTGGCTGAGCTGTTAGGGAGTTCACCACTTCGAAATTCGCGAGAGCCCAGGCATGCCACGCTTTGTATGAGTCGCGGTTATATTGTGTAGCCGCAGAATACGAGTTTAGAACATCACGGACACCATCTGATCTCCAATCACCGCGTTGTAACACCGTTTGCCATTCTCCTTGTTTAAGATGGCTCTTTGCAAGAAGGCGTCGGATCTTATTGGCATCACCGAGGTGTTGTTTTGAATATCCAGGATTAGTATGGTTGGAATCATTTATACCGTTGCTGAGGACTGGCCCGTCGGTAGGCGTATGCTCGTCTTGCGCAGAAAGAATCGAATTATACCGCCCATATGATTCCGTAAGAGAGATAGTAAATTCCTCCAGGGCTTTGAGAGCTTCAGGCTGTCGGCCAGAGGCCCAATCAAATTTAAGGCGTGCATAGGTCACTTCTGGTGGGATGCCACCATCTGCGGCCTCAATAGACTCTAAGGCACTAAGAGAACGTTCTGCAAGTCCCATACGGTTCGATTTGCGGCATAAATTGACGAACTTGATCCACATATCAAGATTTTCACGGGGAGTGATAACAAGTGCCCTGACTTTGAGCATACGCTGCCATACCTCAACATTCTGCTGACAACCCAGAAGTCGTTTATTCCACGTCAATCTCATTGCCTCTTGCTTTTCTGGGTCATCCACACTTCTTTTATAAGTAATGATTTCTTCCAGCTCAGCGAGCATTTGCACCCGGACAACAACATTGTAAGCTCTGTTGTATGATTCACCTAGCAATGCAGAGAGTTCAGTGTCTAGGCCATTTCTGGCCTTTTCTATCAGAGCCGACGCTTCTTCAAACTGGTTGCGATGAAGTGAGAGAATTGCTCCGAAGAACGATCGGTCAGGCGACTGCTCCTTCATCACCCCAATGTATGAATCCATAAGCTCCCATTGGCCTCTTCCCCATGCAGCAGCAGCAGCGAGTGGGGCGATGGCCTTGCGGTGCTCATTTGAGGCTTGATTCCACTTCTCCTGCGCAAGGTCTGAAAGCATTTTCCATTCGCCAAGAGCGTGAAGACATCGCATCTTACCCATGGTGACTTCGAAAGAATCAGGGTCGATTAACTCTCGTCTCTTATAAGCAGCTAACGCTTCCTCCCATCGCTGGAGTTTCACGAACCATGTCTCCTTTAACTCGACATCTCGATACGCTTGGGCCTTGCGGAGAATACCAATTGCGGCATCAGACTGTTGAAGATGGTTGTTGATGCTAATCAATGCCTCCACTGCTCCAGAGTTTTGGTCTTGTTCAAACTCCAGTTCTTTATAATGTAATGCTTTTGCAAATGCATGACATTTACCGGCATATTTCCCAAGAGTCCGGATATCAATTGGTAGAGCTTTGTCGTCATGTTCCATGAATTCGGCTAAGTTGAGAAGTATTTGTAGGATTTCGGGAGGGATGTTTTGAGAAGTAAGTGCCAAGTCGATGGAGTGAACCAATTCCTCCTGGTACTGATGGTAAAGTTCCGTCCAGCAAGAAACGAAGGCGGCGTTGAAAAGATCCTTAGCAAGCGGCTGATATATACCAGCCAAGCTAGCACAGGCACGAAGGGCATGGGAGGGGGATTCTTTGAGTAGCTCGACACTGAAGCGCCGAATCCATTCCTGCCAATCCTCTCGAGTTGATTTCTGTGTGGCATCCCATGCATTTTTGAGATGTTGTTGGTTAACGAATATCTTCTTCTGGCCAACATCCGCAAACGCTGAATCTTCCACAAGATTGCTATGGTGTTCATTGGGGTTAAGGTCCTGGGGTAATGGATCTCCTTTCTGCAGCTTGGAAACAAGAACATGATAACTATGGTGGTGTATTTGATTAAACTTAAGGACTTTGTTGATGAGTGGAACATAGTTATTGAAATCCTGCCCAAGCTGGAAGATGAGAGTGCAAATGCAGTCTAAAGCAGTTTGCCTAAGTGGTTTCTCGGCGTTGTTTATAACTCTTGAGAGCGGATGTATCATAAGGGATGCAAAGTCTGATACGTTAACCTGTCGAGAGAGTTTTGCCAGCGTTTCCATGGCGCATTTTCGAATGTTGGAGGGATTTTGAGTCTTATCGAAGATTTTAACAATGGCGGGGACAATGCGATGCATATATTCTTCGGCACTTGAACCGAAGATCAGGAAAGTGTGAAGGATCCTCTCTGTGGGCTGGCGGCGGACAGAATTATCCTTTTCAACAGTATCCAGCATCAATGGAACAAGCGCGGCCAAGTACTTTTTGAACTCGCCTTCTAATGACTTAGCAACAGCCTCCACCAGCGATAATATCGTGCATTGTACGGGATATGGAGATCCCCAATAGTCACGAATGACTTCGATAATTTCGGGGAGGAATGCACGGATATGTTGTTTGACGATCGTTACCAAGATTGCCAACTGGTTGAAATACGTTTCGAGTCGGCTGACCGGCGTACTTCTGATGACCGATATAAATGCAGGTATTATCTGGCCCAGAAATGGAACACATTTGAGTCCGAGGGTTTTGAACATCGTAACAATGGCGTCAATCACAGCAGAATGGTATTGTGCAAGAGAGCTCTCTCGCAGAATGTTTTGGAGTAAAGTATTGATGACCACAGTGGGGTAGTACTCCTCGTTGGAAGGGGTAAGGCCTTGCATAATAAGAGAAACATCGGAAACAGTCTGAACTTCATTGACATAATGAACGTCAGGAGAAGTCTCACTAATTTGCTGTAGTAAAGTCAGTATAACATCGTCCCTATAGAGTGCTCGGAATAGTTACCTGATCTTTGTAAGGGTCAAGTGCTCCTAGTATTCCAATGAGTTTTATGGTCTCTTTCCTTAGACTGCCCGTTTGCTCCGTCTTAATAATGTTGATGAGAATAGAAAGAAGCTGTGGATACTCTTTATAAGGCTCAATGACATAACCTGCGTTACTTGCCAGCTGACCCAAAGTTTTCAAGGCAGCCTCTCTCTTAGCTTGAGAGGAGAGGTCTTGCAGGGAATCCAGGATTATTGGCATGAGTTGAGGAAGATATTGTTTCATGTCTTCACCACCAATCGTTGCAAGCTCTCCAATGGCTTTGAGAGTGGTCGCTTCTACCGCGGGATTCCCGTCTGAAGTCTTGGGCAAGAGCGTTGTGACAATGGGGTCAACATATGAGCGAATGAGTTTGGTGGCATTTGAAACGAAGAGACTGATTAATTGAGCACTTTCCTCCTTTTGCCGGGAGTTTGTAGCAAAACTGAGGCCAGTCAGAAGATTCACAAGTAGTTTTCTCAAAGGCGGGAAAACATAGGCCGGATTGACGCTCGAGAGGCGACCAATGATGCTGATGGCTGCTTCTCGTACTGGGAACATCTCATCATTAACAGCTAGGAACAAACATCGAACGTTTTCTGGCTTCGCCAAGTGACGGTCAAATTTCTTATCCAGAGAGAATAACACATTTCGCCGGATGTCGGGATCGGGGTCGCCGACTCCAACTGAGAGTAGTTTATCAATAACCTCGCTGACAACCTGTATTGAGTGAGCACTTGTCTGGTTAATGATAGGGTCATGGACGAAAAGTTGGCAACAAGTTAAAGCAGATGCTTTTCTGATCTCAGGACTATCGCTGTCAACAAACTTGATGGCAACATCACGGACGAATTCATTAAGGACATGACCTAACAACACGTTAATATGCCGTTGTCATACTGTAACAGCGAACCACTTACCAGAGAAATCAAAGCTGCCAAGTGTATGAAGTGCGAGGGCTATCTCACTATCACTACGATCCTGAGGTAAGGAACCAAAGTCCTTGGCAAAGGAAGGTATAGGGGGTAATCGGCTTTCCGGGCATCCTAATGGTCTAAAAGGAGTTCCACATAAAACGATACTAAGCATGTCCAGCAGCTTTTCTTGAATAGTAGCCCTAATAGGCGGGATGTAGTGTGCCATATCGACAAGAGCCTGGGTAAGGGATTTGCTCAAGCCACAAGCAAAAATAGGGTCGAGCAGTGACTCCATGTATTTGCTAAGAGTTTGACCAACTGCGAGAGACAGCATACTAATGCATTCAAACATCGGGCCTTCATTAACAGCGGCGCGATTTCGTCTATAATTCTGTGTAAGCTTTTGTTCAAGTTAATTAGTTCGGAACTACATACGCTTTCAAGGCCAGTCCTTCGCGGATATATACGATGATTCCATCAAGGAACTGACCGATGGCGTGGCCAACCGCACTTGCAATCTTTCCTATGGCGATGAAAGCAGTATTCCTTTCCTTGTCTCGTTTTAACTGTGCTTGAAGGTATATCATGAATTTATGAAGGTATGTATTGGTGAACTCGAGGGGAGCGTATGAGGCAAGAACTGGTATGGTAAGCACAATCTGAGCACGAATCTTGGGGTCACGGTGGTCTTTTAATCGCAACACTATTTCACAAGTGTTATGGTAATGCTCGTTCATAAACATGGCACCCTTCAGAAGTAGCTCCTTCAAGGTAAGAAGTGATCCGTGGATCCAGTCCACATTGTTCGATCGTAAGCCTTGCAAAGACTCCTCGTATACTCTCGAAAACCACTGAGAACGAACTGCGCTATCTCTGGCCGCTATTATTTCAAAACACTCACTAACGGCGTCGGCGGCAGTTTCTCGAATGACCACTTTGGGGTCACGTAGAGCGACCCAAATAAGATCAAAGACTTGCGGGATAAACCCGTATAGCAAAGTTGGCGAGCCCTTTGCAAGTTCTTGAATGACCAGGACTGCCGCGAAGCGCCTGCTCTCCTGCCTTTCGGTCTGTAGCCATTCTAGAGCCGACTGGATCTCACTCTCAACTAGCTCTGCAGTTAAAGCACCACCGGGTTTCGCCAAATGCCCGAGACAGCCCGCCGCGAAGAGCAATACTGAGTTATCATTGCTCCTCAAAGCACTTCGCAGATAGCTAGCAAACCGAGTGGTTTTCTGTGCTGTATCCACACCATCAAACTCGATTAACCGGTCGAGCATAAGAAGCCCGCCGATTTTTTCGTTCGCGTCATTTCCGGTAACGATAAGCTGGGCAATACGTTGGTTTATGGAATTGTAGTGGTCGAGAAATTTATCTTGGGGCAGCTCTGGGAGCGGAGATAGCTGATCAGCAACGACGTTCAACTAGTAGGCATCATATTCCAACCGAGCTGTCTTACCTCGAGAAGCTGCGATAATATTTTCGTGAAGCTCGGTGGCAGCTCTGTTTCGAGTATCCTCGTTCTTGGATTTGAGCTCCTGAAAGAGTCGCTGAGTCGTATCTGCAGCTGGGGTAACTTGCGCCATGTTTTGATATCAAGATCGAAAGAAGTTGGCTACACAACTAGCTCCTGGAGCTAAAACATGGGCATCAATCAGCGCGTCGATATAGTAGCTGAAGAAACAGCACAGCACATATTCTTTGCAACCAGACTTCCATCGGCCGCCAAAACAAGAGACCACTTGCTTCGGTGCTCCTTGGATTTCTAATGATGCTGATGATTCTTCCGCTGCCTTGAGGTTGAGGTAGATAACGCTTAGGTAATGAAAAATCACGTGCACCAACCTCGACGTCTGGAAAAACTTTGGATGTCAAAGTTGAAGATTCATGGAGGCGAAGCAAAGAAACGCAGAGGAAGACGAAGAAGAGGAAGAGCATTGGAGGCAATAGCTGCCACAATTTGATGCCATGGCGGCCCGGATGTCGCCCACAACGAAGATTCTGCGCAAGTCTCGTCTATTTGCGCTCCCGGCTTCGCTCTCACCCCCAGCACAGTCTCTGACCTCAAGCTTAAACTCCTGGTCCGATACAGCGACACTTCCATATCCTACTAGAGCGGCTATTGAGACACCCGCCAGCTCTCTTGCAAGAGGGGATTGGGGTCTAAAGCGGCCGCTACCTGCCAAATCCACCGTGGACAGCTCTTCGAACCCTCTTGTCCGGATTAACTATCTCGATACTTACGAGCACATCACAGACTTCCACTCTGCGAATGACCACGCCCTCACTCTCAAGAAATATCAGGAGCTATCTCTCCCTATATCCTCAACAACTCATGGCACATCATCGCTTGTGGGCAGCGGCCGACATACGAGCGTGTTTGAAAGCTCGACCGATAACATAACCGCATCTCCCGATCACAGCTCTGAGAAGAAACTGAGATATAGATTCAAGGGACCATGGTTGGCTGGAATGACTGAAATCGAATTTGAAAGATACCTTAAGAAAGTACGAAAACAGAGGCCAGAGTTCCTACAGAAACTCCGCGAAGTTGTCATAGAGAACAAGGCCCTGCAGACACGGAGACGGTTGATGGACGAGGGTAAATCATTCGAGGAATCGGATCTACCGAAGACACTGAGTGACGCCGAATTTGAAAGTGCTCTTCTGGCTCTTCGTGCGGATCCTGCAGCACTCGGCCCGGAGGTCAACAAGTTCCTCGATCTAGCTACTCCACCCAAGGTCCCTGACAGACGAATTCACCTACGCAACTGGGCTGCTGGCCCGTCTGATGTAGCATCACCCCAATATGCACGAGATGGCCCTCCCAAAACCCATCCGTCTGCTGGTCTCAGCTACTTGCGTACCAGGTCTCATCTCGAGAACCATCCCATTGCAGGACCCCAGCAGAACCCCCGTCCAGTCCAAGCTCGATTGCTGCGTGCAAGAGGCCGTGGCAGAGGAGGATCATCCAAGAGCATAGTCGGTGTTGCTGGCTTTGTTACAGACGACATTGGCCCATCCGCGTCCAGAGATTTTGACAGCCAAAAGGGATCGATCCAGTTTGACCCTGATCTTCCTGGTGGTGCTAAATATTGGGTCAAGGTAGAGAAGGCAACTGTAGATGTCAAGGGCAAAGTCCTGCTCCGTGTCGACGGCGCTACGAATTCCGTCAAGGCCCTCTATGGAGTCCAAGGCGCAGCCGAAGCTCTACCCTCTTTCGTCACCAACCGCGCAGGTTACGGCCGCCTTGATGATAAGCGATGAATGGGGTCCCATGTTTTCTCTATTTTCTGTACACATAAATGTATTATTATGTTCTAGATATACAAATATTAACTCCTTCGAGCTGCCTCGCTTTGCTGTTTCCCAACGGGAGACTTTCTTATCCTACGTAAGTACCCATGTCATTACGTAATATAAATTCAAGTTTCCCGTCTACTTTCAATCACGTGAAAACACAGCCCTAAGCGAACTTCCACTTTATCAAAAAAAGCCATCACGAACATTTCAAGATCGAACGTCAACTGTCAACTCCATCAACAGCCCGCAGTTCAGCACAACAATACCGCCAACATGGGTCGCGTTAGGACAAAGGTATGTGAATTTTGCACATTGCAAGGCTAACCCCTTACTCTGTTCAAAATTGAGAAACTGACAAGACTGCATTTGATCTGGGTAGACCGTCAAGAAATCCGCCAAGAGCATCATTGAGCGATACTACCCAAAGCTCACTCTTGATTTCGAGACCAACAAGCGCATTTGCGATGAGATTGCTATCATCTCTTCCAAGCGCCTTCGCAACAAGGTGGGCGGCCGAAATATCCAAGAAAAGCGAATATAATAACGCCGGAAACTCGTCTAATTCAGATTGATTATAGATTGCTGGTTACACTACCCATCTGATGAAGCGTATCCAGCGTGGCCCAGTCCGCGGTATCTCCTTCAAGCTTCAGGAGGAGGAGCGTGAACGCAAGGATCAATACGTTCCAGAGATCTCTGCTCTTGACATCTCCCAGACCGAGAGCGGCCAGCTCGACGTGGACGCCGATACCAAGGACCTCCTCAAGAGCCTCGGAGTAAGTCTATGTTCTACGCAACTCATGCTGGCATCAATGGCTAATTTGGATCCTTTCCCCCTTCAGTTTGACTCTCTTAAGGTCAACGTCACCCCAGTGTCTCAGCAAACCCAGAACATTGATGGTCGTCGTTTCGACCGTCGTTAAATCAATTTCCATCACGAAAATGGCAGGAGTTATGCGGCGGTGAGAATTTGGGTCAATATATCCAGGCCTTGTTCATGAAATCAACGCCTAGATTGCCAATTTTTTCTAATATAAAAAAATTACAAAATACAAGGTGTCGCTGATTCCCCTGGGATGACGCTTGATTGCCAAAACCAGTCCCCCTTTCAACTCCCGTAATGGATGCTACACGCCCTACCATGATATGATGACGTTCATTTGTGATGGTAAGTTCACAGTCGCCCAAAGTAAGAATAATTTCGCTCGAAGGAACGCCATATCAAGCATGTGAAAAACGGACTCTTTAAGAAGCTAAGGGTATCTCTTGCGTGTCAACCTAACAACGCCCATATAATCCAAAGTACTTGTAAACCCATCTTATATCTGAGGTAAAAAGTCATCCATATCTTCATCTCCATCTCCGTCCTTGTTGCTGGACGGCCAGTTTCTGAATTGTGTGTCCTGTCGGGGATGGAAACCCTCGACCGAGCCCCCTTTTGCGCTGTCCGGCTGGAAGATTGGGGCTTTGGGGTATCTCGAATCATCGATATCCCGTTCAATAACTGTTGGTGCTAGCAAACCTCTGGCTACAGCACCACTGCTAGGATTTACCGACAAACTTTCTGTATCTTGCATCGATAAATCCTGCAACCCACGGGATAGATGATCTTGGCCATAGGTTGGGTTGGTGTCATTGCTCTGTAGCGTGAGTCCCTGCAGATTCTCCTCCACTGCTCTCATAGCACTTCTGTCTACCCGTTCGATGTTTAATCTCAATGATTCGCCTCGTCTAGCCTCCTCCAGCAACATAAAGTCCCTGCCCGCGCTTCCTATCCGTTCTGAAGCTGGTTTCTCACTGAGCTGCACTTTGATATACATTGCTCGCTCTGCACACTCCTCAGAACACCACATCTCTAGCTTTTCTTTCTGTACGACTTTCATGTCCTTACCACGGCCGCCGGGACCGCTGCCCTTTGATCCCCAAACGATCCTGTATCCTCCCTTAGAGTTATCTTTTCGCCGTGGCTTGGGACACAAGGTATAGCCACAGCTACCGTCAATATTCCGTTCCTGTATCAGGTTATCGTAGTCCGATGGCTGAAAGCATGCTATCGCAGAGAAGAAGGTCGACACATCCTCCGCAGAGGGGGACTCGACTGTAGCACCCGGTGTAGTAGGCAGTTCCATGAGCGTTTCGATATGTGAGAGGATCTGGAGCTCCAACTCCTTGCGGCTCTGGATCTGGCGGGCATGGTGAAGCGCAATCGCCATGTGTCGAGGGTCCGGCGACCCTTTGCCGCGATACTGAGACGAAGCCGGCGCCGATGAAGCGTGAACTGCCTGCAGAGACGTCTTGAGCGTCCCGTCCTGGTGAGCGCTGCCTCTGGCGGCCATAGTTGCGACTCTACGCGGACGAGCAGTAAGATGTCCTGTTCTAGCGTCACTCTTCCATGCGCCTTTTCTTTTGTATCAGACGTCAAGCTCGAGGCCGTCGAAATGAGCCATCTTCATCGTCCACTGTGGTTGTGGGCTGTGGGGGGAGGGGGGGAGGTTTCTTGCTGGCCGTGGCGGCGCCAGTCGTCGTCTTTATATGAGGGAGCGTCAAGCCACAGCCTGCTAGTCAGCTACTAAGTGTTGTCTCTCCCGCCCTCGCCCATCTCCCACGGACAACCCGAACAATCACCAAATCGCACATCCCACCACCACCCACCAGGCTCCCCTTGAGCCCGTCCGTGTCTCGTTGCCTTCGTTTCCTCGTGAAGGAGATAGCACTGCTCGCCCCCCCGACCTGTAAGACCTGCTTCTGGCTTCCTGTCTTTGTTTTGGTGATCTAGTTAGCTATGACGGCCTGAACTGACCTAGGCCACCGCGCAGTTTGTTACCGATGCTCTAGCTACACGCCAGCATCGTGTACTCATTACTTTCCTTCGACGGACTGAACAGTTGAAGGGATAGCAGGCGTCGACTATTTGGCCCTCTCCATTTGCACGCTGGTGCTGTCCGGTTTATATTTGGTCGCAACACTGCTGATCTGCCTGGCCGCGAGTCGCCGTTGCGCCCGACCGTTTACTCGACCGTTGATACTCGGAAACCCTCCATACTAGCCTTCTAAATGTCAGCGGTACCCTTCACGGTCAAGGCAGTGTTCGAATACACCTCAGAACATGAAGATGACCTGAATTTTTCAATTGGGCAGATCATTACTGTGACCGAGGAGGAGGATGCTGACTGGTACTATGGCAACTATACCAATCATGCGGGCGCCAAACAAGAAGGCATTTTCCCAAGGAATTTTGTCGAAAAGTACGAGCCTCCGGCGCCCCCAAGACCTACGAGACCTGCCAGAACCCGGAAGGAGTCTGAAACTGCCTCGCAATCTCCACCTCTAGCCTCCGAGTCGGCGGTGCCTGACATCCCGCAAGAGGACAGTCAGAAGAGGAGTATCGATCTGGGTTCTACTGTAGAGGCCGAGAAGAAAGCTGCCCCTAGTTCAGTGCCATATGAGGCCTCAAAGACCTCTGCTCCTATACCTGCTCCCTCATCTCCTCCAATGAGCCCACCCTCTCAGAAGGCTGCACCGCCTCCGCCATCAGCGCCAGTTGAAGCACCAGCTAAGAAAGCCCCGCCACCAGCGGTTGCAGAGAAGCCGACTGCAGGCTCGTTTAGGGACAGGATTGCTGCTTTCAACAAGGCATCCGCGGCTCCAATAACTCCCTTCAATCATGCCACCCATACATCAAGCTCGTTCGTGAAGAAACCATTCGTTGCACCACCACCCAGTAAAAACGCCTATGTTCCGCCACCAATTGAACATCCTCAAACATATAGGCGGGAGGAGCCCCAAGAAACTTCGCTGCCAATTCGATCTGAGGCCTTGGAAGGAACGGAAGCTACAGAAGAGGAAGAGCCTAAGCCAACAAGCCTGAAAGAAAGAATTGCCCTGCTGCAGAAGCAGCAGTTAGAGCAAGCTTCTCGGCATTCTGAAGCAGCCCAGAAGAAAGAAAAGCCGAAAAAGCCGGCGAAGAAGAAAGTCGAGTCACAAGAGCTGGTTGAACCATCCGAGTCAGTGATGGGAGTAGAGCTACAGAGGACTGAGACCTCAGAAACTGCAAAAGAATCGTCAGCTGCAAGCGGTGATCCAGCCGAAGAAGGCACTCAGCCTAAGCATCGAACTCCTGTCTTACCACCCGCCAGAGAACTTACAAGCGACACTAATGATGCTGATAATTCGGCAGCTGGAGATACCGAAGAAGCAAGTGAAACTTCAACAAGCAAAGAAGACGTGGAAGAGAAGTCACCTGAGTCCAGAGCCCTGAGGCCAACCCACGGCGATGCTCCTGGTGCCAATGGCTCTGAGGAAGAAGAGAGTGAGGAGCAAGAGGAGGACGAGATAGATCCTGAAATCAGACGGCGGATGGAAATTCGTGACCGAATGGCCAAAATTAGTGGAGGAATGGGCATGATGGGCATGTTTGGTGCTCCGGCTGGTCTACCAGGTATGCCTACTGGCAGCTATAAAAAGCCAAAAGCTCCATCAGCGGATGCAGGAACCACCGAGCAGCAGCCAGAAGCTTATGCTCCTCCTGTCCAGCTTATGGCTCTTCCAGGAATGCATGTTAGAAAACCGGAAGAGAAGCCAAAAAGCCCGTCAGCTGTTCCGGAAGCGCTTACTGAAGCATCGATGCCGCCGCCACAGCCCTTGCCTTTGGACTCAGAGGACGCTCCAGAGACTACCAGTGAGGAGCCTATCACGCCTCACGGTATGTTTGTATATTTTTCTTTGCTATAATTTTTCTGGAGACAAGGCTAATAGGTTCGAAATTTAGGACGTCCTGTCCCTCCTCTGCCCCCAGTCGCCCAAAATCTCCCTCCTCCACCACCTCCCCCAGAAAGTAGGTTACCGAGAAACCCCCTTTTTTTTCCCTCGCTCATATTTTAACATATGTTATTACGTAGCTCGGCCTGTCCCACCACCACCACCACCTCATAGGATATTGACATCTCCCTCTCTCGGAGCTAAATCTAATGATGAAGTCGTTCTATCTCCAGCCCGGACCGAAAAGGGGGATGATGAATCCTACTTTGCAGGGCATGAGGCTTCGGGGAGCACACGCCAATCCATGGATCAAGCTAGCATCTCATCGCCTGTGTCGTCTCCTGTGTCAGGGCCAGGAAAACGGCAAAACCCGCCCCCTCCACCACTGCCATCAGCTCCCCCAGTACCTCCATCGGCTCAGACCCGTCCTCCGCCTCCTCCCCCTCCAGTAACTGAGCCCAGCCCCGACAACACAGGTGATAGCAGGATGAGCTCCCAGACACCAACTCATCCTCTAGGTAATGAGAGTGAGGAGGAGATAACCGAGTATGAAGGAGACTATGATACAGATATAGCATCAGGTGCCAAACACAAAGATGCTTTGAAGACCCATGTCCGAGACTCTAGTATAGATGAAGGGACATTAGCCGACTCTTTCAGCCCGCACTCGCCCAGGAGTCCGGTAGAAACGCGGCCACCCATCCCACAAAACACTTTCCAAAGTACTGCCCCTCGCTCAGCACCACCTCCCCCTCCCCCTAGCCAACCACCAAAGGCTGTCCGACAATCAGTCGATATGCCGAGAGCTCCACCACCCCCAATTCCGCAAACTATGTATACCCAAGAGGATGAAACCCATGAACGATCCCGGGAGGAAGCTTTTGATCAGTATACATCACCTGCTGTTCCTGCTCATCGGGATCGAGGCGAGTCCCAAATTAAGGATATTCCGGACCCGGCATCATACGAGTTACCCCAGCACGCCGTGTCTTCTCAAGCCCCACGCCCATCCCGGGGCTCATCTGATCTCCTAAGAGGCCAGACTGGAACCCGTAGATCCATGGACGTTTCTCGACCATCAATGGATCAGGGCTACATGGCTAATGATGTAGACCTTGCGTCCACGTCTCTCTGGTGGACGCAACCAAATACACCTCCTCCAGTATTCCAAGGTCGACGAGACATTCTCATTGAAATGGAGGAATCCTCCACAAACAAGCGAGGAGGCAAAGTTACCACATCAAAGGACGTGTACATCCTCTTCATGGACTATTCTCAGACAATCATATCCGCACAATTTGACTCCAAGAACCCAATCGATGTAGCGTTAGAACAGCGCCACGAACCACCACCACCCCGACTACGTCAAGACCAACTGGAGGATGCCCATACTCAATTTGGCGCTCGCATCTCTGAATCAGTTGCTTCAAAACAAAATACCACAGTGGGTGACGGTACGCCCCATGCTCTTATCCAGACACTCCTTGCCCCTCTAAAGGACGCCCTCCTGCCGGTTGGTGTCCGCAGCTACGGCGCCCTGGTATACGCCAACCTAGCCAATGCCTCTGTCCAACAATTTGACGAAATTCGCCCTGGAGACATCATTACCTTCCGCAACTGCCGTTTCCAAGGCCATCGTGGCACAATGCATCAGAAATATTCCACTGAAGTAGGCAAGCCAGACCACGCCGGAATCGTATCCGATTGGGACGGTACGAAGAAAAAGGTACGAGTCTGGGAGCAAGGTAGGGAAAGCAAGAAGACGAAAGTTGAGAGTTATAAGCTGGGAGACCTGAAAAGTGGTGAATGTCGTGTTTGGAGAGTCATGTCCCGTACTTGGGTTGGATGGGACGGAGAGCACAAAGCCTGAGGTTCTGTAGAGAAGGTTTGCCTCCCTCCAGTTTGAAATTTGATCACAATTCCAATACATATCTAGCTCCATACATACTATTGCGCATGCTTGCCTTACTTACTTTGCTCTACTCTTTTCCTTGTGTTATGTTTTGTTCGAACATAGGTCGAGTCGGCTGATTTTTTTTTTTTTTTCTTGAATCAATGAAATTCGTTCATGTATGCAGATGTGACAACGCTGTGGGATACAACAAACTACATATCACACATCCGTTTAATACTTACCATATGAAACTACCTCACTTATTCAATAGACTGAGACAAGCAAATAATTGCTATAAATGTTCAAGTTTTGGTGGAGGGTTTGCCTAGATATTTTTATACACATTGCAAAAAGATTATCTACTTCGTTCCTCAAAACTCCTCCTGAAATATACATGTATCACACTCCCAAGAACGATGCCCAAGTCCAAATGACGGTGTGCACAAACAGATCGACTTTCCTGGCCTTCCGGTAGCTGCCCGCTACGCTGTTTGGAGTTATATAAGGAGTACTTCTCCTGTAGCACCGCCCATATTATGTTGATAAGCCTGCTGTTGGTTCTGACTCACTATGTACTGGCTCTCTGGTGCGGTCGCAACCATATCACCACCATGAACGCCACCACCACCTAGGTTCATAGCTGCCATTTGGTCAGCTACTTGGTCGTTACCGATCCCAGCAAAGTAAATGTCAGCAGCATTCACAGCAGCGCTTATATCTGGCTTCTGGGCCATGCCGGGGTTTGGTGAGATAGATTGAGCATTTGCATCAGGTTCCTGACTGGGAGATAGGAGGGTAGATAGAGGTATATGGAATGGAGTATCGTGAGAGTCTTGATAAGTGGGTTGTTGGAGCGCAGGGCTTGGAGCGAGCCGTTTCGGTCTGGCTAGCCGGAAGACTTGTTGGACGGGCTTAAGATAGACGGTAGCAAGGGTTCCTACATTTAGGCACAGTTCTTCGAGCGTCCTCGGGTCCAGTTTTTCCCTGTCGGCTGTAATAGGAGGTTTCTCACCCATGACGATTTTCCTAGCTGTTTCCGGGTCTGTAGATAGTAGTCGCCAGTACATAAAGCCTCTATCTCGAAGGTCGGGATCGTCTGTCTCCTCTGTGCACCATTTGAGGACTTGAGGAACCAATTCTTGACCCTTTGTGGGACGCTGGATAAATAGTTTGACTGTGGCTGTGAGAAGAGCTAGTTGTACTTCCACCGACTCGTCATGGAAAGTAGCCAGGTAATCCTGTAGGAAAGCGTCCGAGTTGTCAATTCTGTCTGCGTACTGGCCAATGATCCATATCACGGCAGCCTTGGCCTCAGGTTCATCCAGCTCGTCGATGTTCTGAATAACAGTGGTAATGATTGATTCATACTGGTTTGGGTATTTGCGGAAGATGTTGCGGATCACAACCGTGGCTTCCTGCACGATATAGGGAATTTTAGCATTGACAAGCTCGAGCAAAGTCTCGATACACTGTCGTGATGCGGATTCTATCTTGATTGCTAGCTTTCCAATTGCGCGTACAGCCTTTCGTACGAAGTGAACATCGATTTCTGTGGCGTATCTATAGCTTTGTTAGAGGAGGTGACGGATTGATATGACTATAGAGGTCAAACTCACTCTCGAAGTTCAGTCAGGACCACTGATATGTTATCCTTAGATGCCAGCATAAAGATCAACTCTAGCTTGGTCACCTTAACATAAATGGGGTCATTATATTTGCAAAAGAACACTCTGATGTCATTCCGCAGCACCTCCGGTCGCCTTTGTAATATCAAAATTGCATTTCGTAGCGCCAGGTATTGGACTTCGGGCCCCTTTGACAGTAATGTGACGAGAGGCGGTGAGAGCTTTCGGGAAAGTGATGTGACCTGTTTTTCGTCTGCAATGTAGTTCATAAAATATAATATGACCCGGATGCACGTCAAGACGACGGAGGAGTTAGAATGGGAGAGACGTGGGGCCACTCGTTCAGCCAGAAGGAGCGCTTCGGAGGATTCTCGGGGGACGTAAGACATCAATGCTTCGAGTATGTATGTTTGACACCATCTATGAAATTGTTAGCTTACGTCAAGTAGAGCAATATATGTATGTATAGTGAACATACTCGGAGCAATCCGGCAGAATGGAAATAATCTTGGAGGCATTGGTATAGTCAATGGTCAAAGTGATAGATTCACTACGCTCCCAGACGTCTACCAAAGCAGCCAAAGCACTTGACACAACCGTTGGGTTCTCATCCTGAAGCATATTATTCAATCGCTCAATCAGGTCGGACGACTCAACCAGCCTTCTGTCGTGGTCGTATAGCTTGGCGACTGCAAAAGCAGCTGTTTTGCGCACATAGGGATCTGCATCGGACATTAAGTGTTTCAATGGTTGGACTGTTGCTTCGACAAAATCTCTCACATGGATGTATGATATCGTGCGTAGGGCCAGTGCTCGAATTAAAGGGTTACCATCATTCATATCCTATACAACTTGTCAGCCATGATGCAATATATATATATATATTTCAGGTGTTTATAGGCCATGAACAGATAACATACTGCGAGAAGCAATGGCAACGCCTTCAACGCGACCTCTGGCTTTGTCCGGGAATAGTTAACGAGGAATAGGAAGCACCTGCTATCTGTTAGCTCAGCCCTCTTCCGTCTATCTGTTTCCTATGGAGCAAACGTACATTTTCTTTATCTCCAAGCTCGGTATCGTCATACAACCGATAACGTCCGGGAAGAGGCCAATCATATCATTATTGCTCATGGTCATATTGGCGACTATCTTCTTCAGCGTAATCTTCTTCGCAGAGTGGTTCTTATCCTTCTTGCCACCGCCCTGCAGCTCCATGCGGAGCTCGCTGACCTTGCCCTGTGCAGTGTTGTTAGTTCTCTGACCAGACGGCCGAACACCCCCATACTGTAGGGTCATCATATTGCCGGTATTGGAGGCACCGGTGGCGTGTCCATGGGTAGGTAGATGAGGGCGGGTTGGTAATAGTGGTGAGTGGTGCTGGTGTATCAGAGTGGACGCAGGCAGGCCGGAGGACGAGAAGGAGAGGGTATCGACGGGCAGTATATCATGGAGAAGAGACAACGTACTCTTGCGAACAGCTTCGCATCTCCCCCGCTCGAGCTCATCTTCCGTGCGCGCCGAAGACGAGAGCGGCTCGAGATGTCTGGTTGCTACTGGATGGACTGCAAGCGGATGGTCACATGTAGGGTAGGCCCCTGGCGAGCCAAGTTGCCGTTCAGCGAGTCGGAATCCCGGGCGGGCGGTCTTTATTCGTCTGTTGCCTCTGTCCTTGTGCCGACGATGCTCAGGAGATGCGTGCCGGGTGGAAGAGCTGCGGAAGTTGAGGGATGTAAGGACGAGCTTCAAGGGGAGCCGTCGGGGGTGGTGCTGGGACTTTGTTTTGTTAACTTAGCTAAGTAGTAAAGTTGGATGTTTTTGGTCTGCAGGTACTTTTTTGGTTACTAACAAGCCACGATGCGGCCAAAGTAACTACATCCCTAGTTGACGAGCGGTGGACCAGCCAGACCCAGCTGAAATCGGCCTTGAAGAGACGCCAGATGTCCTGTTGATCGCCAGGCAGCCCGTCAGCCTGTGTCAGGAGCCGAGATGAGACGTGAGACGCGAGATTTTGCCGCCCAGAAGCTGCAGGTTGGCCGTCTGTACAGCCAACTGTGCCAACGACAGCAGACATCACTTTATCACTTTTGTGCCAGGAAGCTGCTGCATACCTCTGCCTCTGCTCTTATTAAATATCTCCATATCTATAATTGAACCTTATTATGCTAATCATGTTCCACTTGGCTATATAGAATATTCGAAACGCAGTGTAGTTATTGGGAGTCCGTTCAACCGACCAGGCACCCGGAGACTGCCCTATTATTCCGAACCATTCGTTCGCTTTACGGAGTACAAGGAGCTTTGAATGGAGACACTAGTTACGGGTCAATCCCTCACCTTTATGAGCTGTTACCGGACTCTCCTTGTTGATATCCCTTGGTGGGTTGCTGCACTAAAGACGACGATACCTTTATTCAAGCAGCGAGTTTACACGGATGGAAAGCAGGGTGTTGGGGTATCCTTAATTATTCAAAACCAGCCCCCATGGAGGCTCTCTGATCTTTACGGGTAGCCGTTTCATACGTCACACCGATCGTCGTCTCCTTCTTCATTCCGTCTATCCCTTCCGAACTATAGCCATCCTGTCTGTGACCTTCTTCCATAAGATAGACCTCGCCATGATTCGGGATACTATTCCTTGAGCCACAGCTTCGATCTAGAAGTTTTGAATCATCACTTCTTTCGAGCTGCTTGCTATGAACATAGCTAGCCTGATGGCTGTCACTGATATTCGACCTCTTGTTCGATTAATTTCTTTGCCCCTATTCGTGGACATGATCGGCCTCAATGTGGGTATCGAAGTCGCGATGATGACAAGATACGCTTCGAGGGTCCACCACGTAGCAAGATGGGCCATGGCATAAGTGATGTCCGCTTTTGCTGTGATCGCTTGCAGTTGAATGGTTTTAGTAATTGATGCAATCATTGCACTTTTAGTTCGATTTATTGCCAAGTTAGTGTCATCAACATAACTAAGTGATACCTGTTATAGGAAGGCGTACTGGCGCTTACATGATTCCGAGACCCATCAGTAATGAAAGTGATACCTTCTTTATCTCCATATTTAAATTCCACAACAGGCTGGCTGGAAATACCGCGAGGACCAGGTCAACCGCAGAACATACACCTCCAATTCAACGTCAGCATTTTTTATTTGACACATGATAAGAAACTATGAGGGGAAGGCTTACTGCCCTGGAAAAAGCCCACGTATTGCTGCACAGTTGGTGCCCAGCAGTGGCCTGGGACGCTTGAATCCCAAAACTTATTTATTGGGCGACACTGGACAAAGCTGATTATCACTGTCCCAACATCGACCACAAATTGAACCCATATTAAGGTCCAGAGCATTCGACTTCGCCATTTTATGGGGGGGGAGAATGCCCAACAACAAGGATGCATAGAGGATGCGGCTTACTCCAGGCGACATGATAGAGAAAAGCTCGCAGAGGTATACCTATTTCACGGTATACTTAATTTGCTCCTTCGAGAGCTCTGCTATATGGGTTCCCAGTCCCCAGTGAGTGGAAATTGTTAGAAACGTGGAATTTCCTATTCCAAGGGCCTTTTATTCGGTAATCAGTCAGTTTTTACTACCATTTCGAGTCTTCAAAAGGATTCCGGTCACACTCACAAGTGCGACCAAAATGAGTCCATCTTCAACAGTATATTTCCCGACGATTCTCCACCGGATATATAATCTGGTGCCAACGATACAGATAGCGACAGCAGCAAGAAACCAGGCGAAGACCAGCACGGTTGTCCCTAGGTACTCGGGGCCAGACATGAGCATCTTGAAAGCTTCTTAGATTCAAACAAGTCGAAGAAAGAGAAGCAGGGGAGGTGGTGTCTATATGAAACATTCAACAGCGTAGCCCATAAATCAGCCATGGGGAAACTGGAATATCTATGAATAGTCAGAAGAATCAACAGCTCGGGGTCATTGTGACACTGGTTTCCTTTTCTTCTAGCCTCCATTGCTCTATAACTGTGAGTAGCGGCTTGACAGTAAGCTGATTGTTTATGACGATCATTTTGGGGGCAAATAATGGTTAGCTTGGGCAATGGTTATGGCAAACCTATACGGGATAAAGCAATAGTTTGATTGCAAATGCTTGCGTCCTCAGCATCAGACCCCCCAGAAATTGGCCAAAGTCTACCGGCCTAGGTGTAGGTTATGGGTCCTTCATAAGCACCAGCTTATGGTTCGTTATAGCGCAAGGAGGAGTTAAATGACGGACAAAGGATCTTTTGCATCACCTTGAGACAGTTACTAGCCAGATAACTGCATATACGATATCTTGAAGGAGAAAAAGAAGCGGTCTATTTCTTCCCGCTTACTTTTTGTTCAGTTCCGGCATACTAAGAAAGACTCCGAGCGTATCTAGCGCCCCTTAACCGCTTCGTATCCCCCTGTGGCTTGAAAACCGAGAAATATACGACGGCATTTCCCACCCCAGATGCCCTGGTATGCACACGGATCAACCCTGCTACTTCTTCACACTATTTGGACTTCAATTCAGTGGCTTGTGTCGTATCCAGGGTGCCGTTCTATCTTTAACTATACTCCATAAGGAGTACTCGGTATCAGAATTTCTCATAGGCTGGTCAGCTTGACAAGACCAGGAATGGCCTAAGCCCTCTCTTGGACAGCTGTCCAAGATACGGAGGAACTAGTTATCTCGTTGGCGCCCTAGATGGAGAATTCAAGCGGGAGGTTCCATAGATGATCTAGAAACCCGGCACTCACTGATCATCAATTGATCACGCCGTCAGCTATTAAGCAGCATCAAAGTGACCCCAGAACGGACCCCTGGCTATATCACTATTGAGTACTCATTGCTAGTTGGAAATTTTGGTTATATCTTGGAAAGAATGTCCACTCGCCGGTGCACTGTCATGAACGTGATGAAGTGGTTATATTGTTATTATTGGAACGAAAAAGGGTATACATACCCAACATCACCGCATGTTGAACAAGGCACCCAGCTCATTCTTATATCCATTGTTATCTTCATATAGCGTACCGAGACATATCTTCCTGCTATCGTGGCTTCAACAAGTATGACTGTCAATGGAGAGTCTGCCTCGCTCATCGCACGTTTGCAGCATCTTGCTTCAAGGCTCAGTAACGAGACAGATAGGAAGGCAAAAATAGAGTGTTTACAGCTCAGTAAAGCTCTCACTGCCCAGCTAGAGCAGCCGGAGAACGTAGCAGTCAACATGATCTTCTCGGTGCTATTCCCTTATTCACCTTGTCCTCTCTGTCTCCCCCATCGCCTTACATGTATAGTCCCTGCTGACTTATTCTGTAGGCTATGATTGCTGCTACCGTCAGAATTGCCGTAGACTTAAAATCTATTCTCACACATAATTAAGCATGAGCCCATTACCTCCACCAAGCTGGCTGATTTGTCCGGTGCTGAGGAAATAGGTACGGTGTTTCTTTCACCTAATTAATTAGATACCTATACTAATGTTCGAAATTTTTAGTCCGTATCTTACTACTATCCTTGACAGCACAGCACCTTGTTGAAGGGTAGCTCTAAAGACATGGAAAGCAACACGCATTACCCGTGATATGACATTGAGAGAATTGCAGCTGGTCATCGAATGCTGTATGTTGAATACTGCACGTATAGTAAGACCTTGCATTCCCGCTCCTTAGCTAACTGCGCTTTACATAGCTCCCAGTTAGTTGTTTGTGCAGTTCAAAGTGTTCCCGCTTATCTAGTTAACCACAGAAAAGAGGCTATTCCTGCCCATCTGATCCAAAGGACGGATTTATTCAATATGCATTCAACACAGAGAAATCTTCCTTTAAACGTTGTGCCATATCATCCCTAATTAAGGACTTCAACTCCTTTGTGGGCAATACAATGGGTGCTCGCACATACTGGATTGATTGGTATCCAATACAGAGTCGACTTTTAGAAAAGGGTCTCTGTAAAAGCAATTCTTAGTCATCATGTTATCATCTGCAGTTTAAGTTTAGTCTTGTTTCTGTTTTTTCTCAAAATATAAACCAATCGGGAGCTTTCAAAACTAATCGTAAATCCATCTTCAAATTATATCCGTTTAAGTTCAAGTTGTGACATAATCATTGCAGCTTAGTCACAAAGCGTAATCCTTGAGCTTAGTCATCCTTTACCCTCAACATCTTGAAGGAAGCTCGAAGACAAGATAAACAACTATTTAACACTATTTATATACCACACTATATAGACGCATACACTCACTATGGCGGAACAGATGAAAATGTTTCCTCCACCTCCTCCGCCCCATTGGGCTGTTGATATGAACTCTCCCGCGCCCAGCAGAGCATCAAAGTCCGCCTCCTTCCCCGACCCTCCAGGCTACTCTGCCCCCAAGTCATTGTCGAAGGTACATTGGACAATCCACTATGCATACAATAACATATTTCTACTTTCATGCGGAGTACTAACATTTATCCTTCAGCAACGAGCACAGCCGTCCACTAGCCCATCCTCAACCCCCCGCAAGACCGAGACCGATGCCCTTAAATTGAAAAAAGCATGGGAACTAGCGCTTGCTCCTGCCAAACAGCTGCCCATGAATGCTATAATGATGTACATGTCCGGCAATAGCTTGCAAATATTCAGTATCATGATGGTTTTTATGCTTTTCAAGGGACCTATTACCGGCATCATAGGCACAAACGCTGCCTTCGCCAAGTTGGAGTCAGAGAGTATTCGGGGTCAGATGGTGGCTGTCAAGGTAGTTTACGTGGCCATGCAGTGTGTGTTGCTGGCGCTGGGTATATGGAAGGTTAATGGGATGGGATTACTACCGTAAGTTATCCATCGATGGGGTATTGGGCTTGTTGAGTGCTAACAATGGTTCCTTAGGACGACGAGATCAGACTGGCTGGCATGGGAAATGGAGCGAAGTCCGCTGGAACGGGCATATTTCGCTTTAAAATGATTACTAGAACGTTAAACTAACCTTGAAGAAAGAAGAAAAAAGCTCTTGCGATTCTTTCTATGCGAAATAATACGATTTTTTACCCAAATACTGTTTCTGATCTAATATTCTAACACTCAGTCGCTTCATCACATGCCACCGTAAGCTCACGAACAAATAGCCAAACATCTTCAAACGAGTTATATAGTGGTGCGGGAGCTACGCGAATGACATCCGGCCTTCTTTCATCGAGCACAACACCGTTCCTCAGCAGACAGGAGAAGACGGGGTCCAACAAGCCTGCTCTTAGTCGCAGACTGAGCTGTGCCCCTCTCATATCCGGATCAGACGGCGTGATGATGGTAAACGGTCTCTCGGATTTGGAAGGGAATTCGCTGTCAATGAGATATTCTAGGTAGGCTGTCAATTTAACTGACTTGCGCCTAAGAGCTTGCATTGTGGCTCTGTTGAACACCTTCAGAGATGCCGTCACAGCCGCTAGGTCGAGAGCAGAAGGGTTGGAAACCTGATAACCCGCCGCGCCAGGACGAGGAACAAACTCTACCAATTGTTAGGAAGGCAGGCTAATGATCAACAAACTAGAGACGAAACTCACTATTATCCATTATAAAGCGGGAGCTCTTATCGCTTCCCCACCATCCCGATAGCCGTGGTCTAAAACTATCCTCCGTGACCAATCCATGTTTCTCGTGCACGAAAAGTCCTGCCATAGCTCCAGCTCCCGAATTCAAATATTTGTACGAACACCAGGCCGCAAAGTCAACGTCCCAGTCATGAAATTGAAGTTCAACATTTCCTACAGCGTGGGCACAGTCCCATCCTACCATTAACCCCTTGGAATGGGCATGGGCCGTGATGGTCTTCATATCAAAGAATTGGCCGGTGTAATACTGGATACCGGGAAGGAGGATAAGGGCCGCAGAGTCTGCGTGCGCATCAATAACGGATAGAATTTGGGAGGTCTCGAGGACAGGATAGTCTTCCGAGACAGGCTCGATGAGAACCATGGCGTCTTCTGGGTCAAGGCCATGGTGGAGTGCCTGCGACTCAATTGCAAACTGTTTCAACGTCAGCAATGCAACAGAAACAAAGGGGTAAAGAGCAGCTTGTTCCTACATGATCACTGGGAAATGCCTTTCCCTCGAAGATGATCTTGTACCTCTCCTTGGTAGGCTTGTAGAAACTAGCCATCAGGAGATGCAAGTTGCCCGTCAAGGTCCCCATCAGAGCCACCTCACTCTCCTTAGCACCCACGAGCGGTGCCATAAGCTCAGGTGCTCTATCATCAATGTTCAACCATTCTGCCGTTAGCTGGTCTGTGTGGGGCTCGGTATGACCCAGCACCCCTTTGAGAGCCCATGACCGCAAGTAGGAATTGACGTGTTCACTTGTAGAAACAGGTTGGAGACCCAGAGAATTTCCACAGAGATAAACACAGCTTTCTTCTGGTTTTCTCGCTTCCTCTCCTGTAGAGGGAGCTAGGGTTGTGCGTGTCAGATCGGCCTTGGAGGGGATGATGAACTCCTTTCGAAAGTCATGGAGGGGATCCTGTTCATCGAGGTTGCGGGCGTACTCCCTGGTGAGGGAGCTGGGATCCTTGCTAAAATCCATTCGATCCACCTAGGCTATGGATGCCAGTGAATAGTTAGAGGAGTAGGACATGCAGTACCCTGTCTTGATAAATACTTTGAATATACTATCTTTTACCGCCATCTGTTTGTAAACATCCGTAGAGCCATGGGCACTTTTTTTGTCTTTATCCTTCAGGTTCCCCCCGCTTACTAACCGTTCTGAGCCGTTTAGTTAAATCTCCGGAAAGTAGCCGATGATCAGGATTTTGTCGAGCTGCTGCAAGGTACAGAGGGATCACCAACAGACAGAGCCTGGTCAGCGAAGGTGAGCTTCGCACCCACAGAACAAGGAAGCAGGCGGCCAGGCATTGCGTTCTCGATGGCCATCTTGACTCGCCAGCCCGAACAATGGCCAGGTACAAGAAAGTGCGGGTTTAGCGCCTTTAGATCGTGAACCGTTGCATGCACCGCCGCCTCGTCGCTCGTTGCCAAGTGGTAGCCCCCGATTATCGCGAATATATCTTCCTCCTGGTCTTCCTTTGCTCCATCCTCTTTGCCCTCTTGCTGCTGGCTTCTTTTGGCGTGTCTGGCTGTGTTTACAACGCCAGCATGGCTGCATCCCGTGACCGCGATAAGTCCCAAGCCTTTTTCTTTGTCAGCGCGGGGTAGAGTTTGGATTTTGATTATATAATCAAGTTGTTGCACTCACCCCGCACACAGCACGTGACCGCGCGCTCGTCCGCGATTTCTTCGTCTTTTTCCCATTTTCCGTCATTATCAAGTCTCATTGCTCCCTTGAGGCCGGTCTCATACTCTGTCTCCCGCGGGATCATGCCAGAGACATGAAACATACCGCCTGCCAAAGTGTGTGGCTGTGAATTCTTACTTACCACAGCACCAGCAGCAGTCATTTCGTCGAACTCTGGATCTGCCTGAAGAGATATGAGTTCTTCGCCTAGCTGGAAACCGCGATACTTGGGCCGTGATGGGTGGACATCTACCACTAATCTTGCATTGCTGGAGCCTTGTGCTTCTTGGGCCTCCTTGATCATCCGGATAGCGCGTAGCATGCCACCTATAAAATTAGTCATAGTCATATATCGATTGATAGTTTAGAGGTAGTAGATGAAAGGGTCACCTGAATGATCTCGATGCCAGTGAGAAAGGACTATGGTTTCAACAGTCGAGAGATCTACACCGAGTCTCTTCGCGTTTCGTTCCCATGTGTCTTCCTCTGGCCCAGTATCAAACAGTATGCTTCTCTTTTCATTTCCAATAGTACCTGTCTGTCCACTGTCAGTCTTAACGTCTTATATGGGGTGTACAGCACGAGTACCAGTAAGATAGATAGTCCATGGGCTGCGCAGCAGATGCTCTCCATCTTCAGCTCACGGACTTCTTCGTTGCCCCGACAGACGTGGGCGGACTCCCGAGAGATATTGCCCAGTGAACCGTGGGAGATGATTGAACCCACAGCGGTGGGAGGTGGAGGAGACATGACATCCAGCTCATTGTCGATGATCACCGTCATCTCAAGGCTGTCAAGTAATAGAGGCATCTTGTTGGTCAGATAGTGCTTGATTATATGCTGGTTAGGTTTGGTCGTCTTGTTTGTAGTTGGAACGGTGAACCTTCCGCAGGCAGTACAACCACTCATAAGCTGACATGACGTCAAGCTAAAGCTTCTCGTCATCGCCTCTTATATAGATCAAGAAGTCCAACTATCAACACTTTATAATCAATCAACCAAACAACCTATATCTACAGCATAGTCAAACACAACCAAAGGAAATCAGTCTATACTCCAGCCAAGCACAATATGGCGTCCATCACAGACGTTATGAAAGCGGACCACCAGGAGCTGCGAGACGACTACGCCAAAACCATCAATGCCGCTGACGAGGACAGTATGACCCGTCACGGTAATAAGTTCACTTGGGACCTCGCGCGTTACACCGTTGCAGAAGAGCTTGTCATCTACCCAGCCATCGAATCCCACATGGACCACGGCAGCGTCATTATCAACCGTGACCGCGCCGAGAGCCAGAAACTTAAGGAGCTTCTCGCTAATTTCCAACCCCTTTCTGCTTCGGACGCCGAGTATAGACCTACCTTGGATGATCTTATGAGTAAGATCGACACCCACATCAACGAAGAAGAAGACGAATATCTTCCGTCGCTGGAGGCGGTGCTGGATCCAGGGGAATCGCAAGACCTGGCACGGACATTTGAACGGACAAAGGTCTTAATGCCGACAAGAAGTCATCCCGATGCTGCAGTCGAGCAGCCTGCGTTTGAGACTGCCGTGGCCCTGGTTCAGGCGCCTCTCGACAAAGTCGCAGATCTCATGAGGTTTCCGGAAGAGTAGTCTCTGGGTGTTCATGCTTAAGATCATGTCCTGAATGCAAGCCATTATAATGTCAAAGTAACTTTTTAGGCCAGTCTATATCTTTGAGCACAAAAATGAATCGTCCTTTCGCTCTTTCGCATATGGTCCGCCATTTTATTCTGTCCAGGGGAGTATTTCTAGTGAGGATGTAGAGCAGAATAGTAGTCTGCCAAGAGACCTTTTCCACAGGTATTAAGCTTCAGTATAGCCTTGCCATCTCTCCTGTCTTGTTGAGGGTATCCAGTCTTCAAATTGTCCATACTCTCTCTGTCTTCAAATAACGATGAAGTCAACCATTTTTCGATGTTTTCTTCCCTTCTCCCTCACTGACTGAGATATCTTCACGTGATTGTAATTTGTAATCATGTATCCACCCAAGGTACGAGTCGAAGCTTTTGATCTTATCGATTCTGTGTCTTGCGGATCTTTCTGCGGCCGAATATAAAAAATGTCGACAAGCCGATTCCTCTTCCTTTTCACATAATAAACCACTTTTCGGCAGCTGTTCCTATATATCAGCATGTCGAAGCACAGCCTATTCCTCTTGTGCCGGTCACGGACGGTCGCCATACCACCTCAAACCATCATAATCAACCTACACAACCGATACATCACAACAACCACCACGTTTTCGCAGACTCCTTATACGCCTACCCGAGCCATCCCAACCTACCTCCTCCCGTCACAGAACCAATGGCGACCGCAAAGAGCGTTAACACCTTACCTCCGGCATCCCCGTACCGCCCTAGCCGCTTTCAACACCTCTGCCATGGTTAATGCGACAGTCGCAACGCTGAATCCACAAGTCGACGAGGACGGACAACCTCTGCTTGTTTCAATATCACCCCGAGCAGCAAAGGTACGTTGAACGGATATTCCCTGCGGGTGTTACACCTTACTAGCCCGCTATATAAACCTGTCGCGATAGAACACAAGTACATACGACCATAGGAAGTGGAAAACAGAGCTTCCCGTCCGCTCAGCTGTACTTAAGCCACTTGCCGGTCGGTTAGTAGTTGGGTGGGTGACCACCAGCGAATCCCGACTGTCGTATGTTTTGGATATTTTTTTGATATATATATATATATATTTCGTCTGGTTCATTGGAGATTGATGGCTAACAAATATACAGCGTCTACGAGAAATAACGAATCCCGCTGCTTCTCCGTCCGCTACACAAAAGGAAAACCCATACCATCACCTACGCATCACAGTGACTAGCGGAGGATGCCACGGTTTCCAATACCTGATGAGTCTAGAGCCTAGCTCAAAGATAAGTGAAGAGGAAGACACCGTCTTCGAAGTTGAAGAAGATACCCCAGACGCTGTACCGGGTGCGCCAGCTGGTCAAGCAAAGGTCGTCATGGACTCGGCCTCTCTCGAGCTACTATCAGGCAGTACGGTTGACTACACCACTGAACTTATCGGCAGCCAGTTTAAGATCGTGGATAACCCGCGTGCCTCGAGTAATTGTGGGTGTGGAACGAGTTTTGATATCAAAGAATAAATATATAAAGTCGACGCCACGGATGTCTCCTACTTTTGTCCATGTAATATAATTGACTGACGGTGCCGTGTCATGACCTGCGCACAGTTTCTTGATTGTACATATTTAGCACCTAATGGCGTACTATGATCTCTTCTCAGTATGATACCAGCTAGAAACAGGACATGGTTTGTTGCAGATGATATTCCTTTTATTTTATTTTTCATTTATTTTATTCTATTTTTTTAATTCCATGCGTACTGAATCCAGCAATTAATGTATCAGTAAAGTAGTAATATTCCAGTATCAAAAAGAAACAGAGAAAAGCGAAACGCCTACAAGACTGGCCGGTCCATTGCGTGTCCAAGGAAACATAGAAAGATATAGTAAACAGGTCACAGCAAAACCTTTCTCTTTTTCTCGTCGTAAAAAAGCCTAAACAGGACGTTGGTCTAAGCTAGACATTAATTTCGTTCCAAGCCAGCCCAACCCCCCAGGCACGGAACACATAAAAGCAGGCGTTAAAGCGTAAATGCATAGATAATGCTCTCGTCTGGTTTTCTTTCCCCGTTCTACCCAGCAACGCAAAGTGAGAAGAAAAAAAGAAATAGGTAGAGGTTCGACTTAATAGGTTCTGGCAAGGTTGCGTAGATACCAGTCAACAAGTCTTCGTCCGGCCTTGACCTCGCTAATGTGAATCAGGTTGCCCTCAATGGCATAGTCAAGATCTCCGGCATTGACAGCTTCTCCTTCCAACAATCCACCATCTACCCATCGGATCTGTCTGCTTCGCTGCTTGTTAATCAATAGCCAGGCACGAAGTTGCTCAGCGTCAACTTCCAGGAAACCAGCGAGCTTCTTCAAGTCCATGGTCGTGTAGAGTTTCAAGTAAGACTTAACGGTAGGGTTGAACAAGGTGTTCTTGACTTCATCCATGAAGATGGCGGTCTGGTGATCGACGGGGTCAACGTTAAGTGATGGGTTGTCGAAGTCTGGAGGAGTAGGGCTGATGAACTTGGGGCAGGCAGAGCGGAACAACTCCTCAAAAATGGGGAGAGCATCGGGACGGCCGCGCTGGAGACGGTTGAATTGGTCTCCGTACTTCTCGCGGATGGCTGAGTGGATGGTGTCGTCGAGACGAGTGGGGTGGAAGGCAACGCAGATGGCAATGAGAGCGTACATCTGGTCGTTCTTCTTGGCGATGGCATCGTAGCCATCACGACCTTTTTGGAAGTTCTTCGTCCGCGAGACGTAGACGAGAATATGGCTGAACATTCGAATGGCGTCCGCATAGCGGCGCATCATCATATAGGAGAAACCGACATAGTAATATGTGGTGAAGTGGGCGGCCATGACACGGGCAAACATGGCCTTCTTGTTCATTTCAATGTCATCCAGTGTCTTAAGGGCGAGACTGAAGTCTCCAAGCAGACAGTGTACTCGGAGGAGACCGATAATGGAGAAGTATCCTAACATCCGGTACAGAGGACGAGATCCATACTCTCCGGCAACGGCCATGGGGTCCTCATTTCGTTTTATAGCTGCAAGCTGCTCGTTGATCTGAGATCGTTGGATGAGAGAGTAGAGCACGTTGAGGACCGAGTAGCAGCCCCATGTGTTTGGGTTCTCGCGCAGTAGCTGTGCTTCCTCTTCGTTTGATCCAGTGCGAGCTACTCGGTTTCGGTATCTGCAGAAGGATTCGAATTGGTAGATGAATTCATCAATGACGTCCCAGGCCCAGAAGTACTATATCATCCATACAATGTCAGACCAAACTGTCAAAAGCTCAAAAGTTCATATCCTAAATAGTCAACCACATACCGATGGAACTTCCAACTCGACAGGGCCATCCGAGTTCAGGATATAATGGAACAAGCTACAGTAGTTATCGTAGCTTGCAAACTTCGTCTCCAGCGTAGCCTGGTATTCCAGTGGGGTGGCAGCAGCAGCTAGCTGGGCCTGCAAGTCTTGTGTTTGTGATGTTGCGCCTAGGGAGGTCGTTCGGTCCAGTTCACTCATGCCATCGTCAAAATGTACCTGCTCCCGGTAGTCATTGACGAGAGCCTCCTCCTCGACATCAGACTCATCCTGGAGATTCGGTGGTAGGCGCCCGCGGTTGTCTTGCGCCATTGTGTGCTCGTTGGTTCCTGTTGTGTGCGTGCGTGTTTTGTGTGCGCTGAGTTTAACCGCAACCCAGGTTTAGCAAGACTGGAAGTGATAGTACTGTATTTATCTGTTGAATAGATGTCTCCCCGCTAATGAGCAAGCTGCATATGAGTCTGCTTTCGGCCCGACGTCGTCGTCTTGTTCAATTTCAGCGTTTTGTTCGACTTTGTTCGGTTTTTTTTCGCTTCTTTTTTATCTTTTTTCTGCTTATCTTAGTGCGGGAGAGTCACGTGATGACATTTACGGCACACTACAAAGTAGATATTAGTGCAAACGGAAGAAGTCAAGGAAGTACGAAACGTCGAGGAGAAAGATAAGGTGAGCCTTGGGAGAAGTATGCAGATATGCCTAATCCGTACATTGTGCAATTTGTTCTGAGGCAGACAGCCGAGATAGCATATTAAAAAAAAAAAAAAAAGAAAAGAAAAGAAAGAAAGAAGAAATTTGATGGAGCAGATGCCAGACATGATATCACAGCAGAGATGCT